CAATCTCTTGGTTTTTAGAAAGTAATGAAATTATTCTTCTAATCTAATAATATGTTGTAAGAATAGATCATGTTTAAAAAATGGGGACTGCTATTCAAAAGTTTAAGCAAATACACACAACATAATGTGTCTAAAAGTTTTGAATCATACAGAACTGATAGGTCAACAAACACTGGACAGCTGCCCAAGAAGTTACTAATGGTACTTCTATTTTTAAATGAAGCGATTAGAGATGCCCTGGAAATTATCGGAAAATTAGAATTATTTCTTTAGTATAAAAAAAATGTTTGAGAGTCTGAATAATGAAGTTTTGTAAAATAATTTTATGAAATATAGTACCATAAATTAAACCAACTAAATAAACTCACTAAAGCAAAATCTTTTCTAACTAATCTGTTAACTTTTCTAAAGGGTGTTACTTGTTTTATGGGTGATGGTAAGCATGTGGACTTGATGTACTTATATTTTCAGAAAAGCTTTTAATAAATTCCACTGAGAGTCACTAAAAAAATCACAATTGTAGGAGTTGTGAAAAAGACTATTTAACTGGATTATAGAGTGGTTGGATGAGAGAAAGTGAAAAAATGTTTTTATTAAATGAAGTCCAGTCAAATTGGACCCTTGTTACAAATGAAGTTCCTCAAAAGGACTTTGCTTTTTATTGTTTAAATTAATGATATTGAAATAGACATAATTAGTAGAGTAGTAAAGTTTGCTGATGATATTAAACTCTTGTGTATTTCTAGATGCATTGATAATGCTAAAGTACTACAGAATGACTTGGATAAGTTGGTAAAATTGGACAAATATTTGGCTAATCACTTTTAATTACAGAAAGTACAAGGTAATGCATTTAGGTTTTCATAATTTGGATCACACATTTAATACTGATGGAAACACCCTCTATATCATGACTATAGAAAAGGATATTAGCATAGTGGTAAATATGTCACTCAAGCCAAGGCAGTACTCTTTTGTTAGTAGCAAAGCTAATAGAATTTTATTGTGTATTTATACATATCAATTAGAAATTTATACAAATCTATTTAGGCCTCACTTGCAGTTTACAGTTTGTTTTCTAATTTAAAAAAGGATATAGATTTATTGTCATTGGTTCAGAGGGCTACTAGAATGACTCTGGGGATGGAAGTGTTATTTTACAGATATGTTAAGATCTCAATTATTTGCTCTTGAAAGATAAAGTAAGAGGTAATCTTACTGAAGCTCATGGGAATATCTGGAGGTGTGGGATTATACAGAAAAGGCTTGTGATTTCTCTTTGTACACTGAGTGGTCACAAGTAAATAGACACTTAA